CAGCATGCTGAACCCCATGCTCATGGGAGACCCGCTGGGTGCAGTACAGAATTTTCACCACTAGGTGACAGCAGTGAGCAACGTTTAACCAGTGCGCATATGCGCGTTATTGATGCAGTACTGCTTTTTCGACACTCGAGGGCACCAGTGAGCAGTGCGGGACCAGAGAGTGTGCTTACGAGTAGGACAGCCATGTCAAGCAAAGATGGCTAGAATAAAAATACTCCCAGGCACCCTGAGGCCTCTGCCAGTCCCAGGCACAGACTAGGCACCAGTTAACCCGGGCACATGTGCGACGGCTGGCTGCAGTGTCCTTTGTATGCAGGCGAGGGCGGTAGTGGCTGCAGTACTCGACACCCAGGGACAGCAGGGAGCACGGCGAGGCCCGTGCGCGTGTGCACCCTCCAGTACAGTACTGATTTTCTGACACGCGGGGGCAACAGAGAGCAAGGGGAACCCAGTACGCATGCGTACGCCCTCTGGGTGCGGTACTGCTATGTCGATACTAGAAGGCAGCAGTGAGCGGTGCGAGAACATTGCGCGTGCGCCCCCCCGTTTGCAGTACCGCTATTTCGACGCGAGGGCAGCAGTGAGCAGAGCGCGACCACAGACTGGTGACGAGTAGGACAGACAACAGCAGCAGCTCCGGACTGCCTTACCACGCCCACTCGTCCTAACAGCCGAGTACTCGGAGCTTCTGCTGATCGCTGCCTCCGGGACACCTTCCCCAGGAGTCTCTTCACTGTCTACCACAGCCTCCACGGCATCTTTGACCCAGTAGTGCTCCCCCACTGCGCATCCACAGCCCTGTGCCTCCACACGTAGAGCCACTGCAGAGGTGTCTGACATGACCCAAACCAGGCAGATGGATGGGCCCATCTGTTTGCTGCTGATCATCTCTGCTGAGTGCCAATCACCTCTTGGCACCTGCATAACCAAAAAAAAAAAAAAGGGAATGACGGTTATTGAGTACGGCACTGCGCAAGTGGCGGTGTGCGTACGTGTGCGACGGCGGGCTGCAGTACTGGGTTGTATTCAAGCGAGGGCAACAGTGATCACGCCGGCGCCACTGCGCATGCCTGATCAGTCTCGCTGTATAACCTGATTGTGATCAAGGGAGGGCAGCAGGGAGCCAAGGGGCGCCACGGCGCATGCGCGCGCCTCCATGCAGCAGTACTGCGTAGTGATCGAACGGTGGCAGCAGGGAGCAGTGCGGCGCCACTGCGCACGCGTGCTCTGACTCGCTGCAGTACTGCGCTGTGCTCCAGCGGGGGCAGCAGTGAGCATTGCACCCGTACTGCGCATGAGTTCAGCTTTGTCTGCAATGTTTATAATCACGAGAGGGCAGTAGGGAGCACAGAGGAGCACTACGCATGCGTGTGACGGCTGGCTGCAGTACTGCATTGTGATCAAGCGAGGGCAGCAATGAGCATGCTGGCGCCACTACGCATGCGTTCGCCAGCTGAGTGCAACGTTGCTCTCCAATCACGCGAGGGCAGGAGAGAGCCCGGTGGCGCGCTGCGCATGCGTGCGACAACTCGCTGTCGTACTCGGTCCCGGTCGTGGGAGGGCAGCAGTAAGCTCCGCGGTGGTGCGTGGGAGGCCCGCCGTGATCGCGTCCCTCGGCTGGCTGTGTCACCGCCGTTTAGCCAGGCGAAGGGCAGCAGGGACCACGCCGGCGCCACGGCGCACGCGCGCGAGGTCTGGCCGCCATACTGCAATGTTATCTCGCGGGGCAGCAGCGAGCACCGCGAAACCCCCACCAGAGCAGAGAAAGGCATGTTGTTTTTGTCTCTACATGTGAAAGCCAACCTGTAAATCAATTTTTCTTTAGTAAGAGGAATGGTAAAGAAACATTTAGCTCTTTAACTGGCAGCTGTTTGTTAGCATCTTGTCACCAACACCCTTGGACACATGAGGTACACTGGAGCTGTTCTCCCAGGGACACCACAAAAAACCCTGCTCAAGGGCCAGACTGCCTCCTCACATCCCAGGCTGCCTGTGAACAAGAGGGCACAGGCACGCCTGCTTTGGGGAGAAACCTTAGCCCTAAAGGCGAGATTTGAAGAAACAAAAGGGAAAATCAAATTTGTGTTCCAGACACACCCTACCCTGTGCACTCACAGTGCATAGTACTGCCAGGCCCCTGAAACCTCGCTATCCTTTCTTTCCCCCACACCCATGCCTTGAGGTGGGCAAGAGAAATCCAGGTACCCACAGCCACCCTAGCGCCGCCACCGTGCCAGTTCAAGAACAAGAATAATTAAAAGCTACTGGAGAAGGTGCTGAAACCCATTCCTGTGCAATAATTTTCTGAATATACTCCAGGGAAGATGAGCAGAGTCTGGTTCAGTTGAGGAGGTGCAATGGAATTAAAAATCTTGGCATATCTGGGTTTAGCTGGAGACAGGTGACTTCCTCGACAGCAAGGTCACATCATGAAGAAAGGTTAGTGATAAGAACTTGAGATGGCCTGTGATACCTGGAGGTAATGGACACTGAAATTAAAGATGATTGGTCCTAACACCTGTGATACCTAGGCAGTAGAGAGACAGAATATTCAGATGGTAAAAATCATTATTACATATGCAGTTGTTCAAAATATAACATACAGGCCTTTAAACTTGAAGGGAGAAGGAAAATTGAGGCACCATACAGGCACAGCTGCTTGTTTTTCAGTATGTTGTGTGAAGGTCCTTTGCACAGCTCCAATTATGGGACTTCAAGGCCTCAAATACACATTTCAATCACACAGTCTAAAAGGAAAGAGGTATTCCACTAGCTTCTTTTGGATTTCAAGCAGCCTAAAGTTGCCCTAAATTAAGGGAATTCTAATGGGTCTCAAGCTATGAACTGAACCTTTAGGGGCAACAGAAAGTCATCAAGAATTACTTGACACTGTTTACCCTCTATACTGGCTCCCACATAACAAGGGATAAACAGGAGTGTTTAGCCAAAACAGGTAGCAATATCCTCTAGAAGCTCGTCTTTCAGCAGCACCGCTTGCTCCTTTGATTCCTATATAGCAGAGCAAAACTTCTGAGAGAACTCCTGAACAGACAGCTAGAAATAATCAACCCAACAGGGTAATAAATACATTGTTTTAACCTTACCAGTATGCTATGAAGTCTTTATTTCAGCTTTGCTTCTGATAAGATAATCTAGACTGAGCCTAGTAAGAAGAAATCTCCCTAATGAAGCCACAGTAAACAGCAGGATAACTATCTGTGTTCTAGTGTTTCCTATCAGCCCATCTCCATGTCCTTGTCTACATGCCTGGTAAACAATCATTTACAGAAACTCCTTGCTTTTGAGTTACCTGCCCTATACCCTTTTGTGCTTCATAAAGAGACATGCAGCTGCTATATAGCCACACAAGCTTCTGTTCTCAGCCTACTGAGAACCAAGCTGGACTCCTTTTATTATTTTCCCTCCAGTGAACTTTCTTTACTCAGAATTTTCTTAGAGTATTCCTCTGACCATGTAATGTCTGTGAGACGCAGCTTCTGTGCATCTAGATGGATGGGCTGTAAGCATAGGGAAAAAAATCCCATATTAGAACAGTGAATTCAAATGTCTTGCTATTAACCACCAAGGATTTCTTAGTACAGAAAATATTTTTAATTACAAACAAAACACCAAACACAAAATGGATGAAATATTGTAATTACCTTGCTTTACTTAGAGAAGTGGACAAGCTTAATTTACTCTATAAAGATCTCACATTTTATCTGCAAAAACATAACACTTTGGGGAGAATTAAAAAAAAAAAAAGAGAGAGAGAGAGAGAGAGACTCTCTCTTTAGGTCATTATCAGAAGAAAGCAAACATGCCTCTCAGGAGTGTACTGCAACTGCAGCAGAGAGATACCTGGAGGCAGAAGATACACCTCTCTGCATGAGGTGAAAAGACTGCACTCTTGAAGATCTGTCTTAAGTATTCTAGATGATAATGCTGTCAGACCTCAAAATCTAAGGTCTCAACAGGCACATCTAAAGAGTTTGGAGCAAAAGAAAGTGCTCTCTGGTTCTTTTGGCTTTAGGAAGTCACAGTGACAGATGGCCAAACGTGCAGTCAGTTGGATATGAGACTTTCAACTCATGACCAACAGTTACTGCAGGAAGAAAAACATAAATACATCTGAGGGAGCTATTCACAGACCTAAGACTTCACATATGGTTGCATACAAGTTTCTTTATGCCCCTTTCTTTACTGTTCACTCCATTACAAGGGATTACAAGCTCTCTGTTTCCGAGAGTCTCATTCATCCTGATTGCTTCTTCTCTGGTATTTCATCCGTGTCTCTTCCATAAAATTTCTGAAGGCTGGTTCTTCGTGGCTCTGCTCAGTAACTGCAGGGGGCAGGAGAGAGGGAAAGGAAGGAAGAGAAAAAAAAGCCACAGTTCAGTGCTATTTCAGCACCTGTTCTGCTTGCATTCCAAAAGAAAGCCAGAATCAGGCTATTTGCTAAATCAGAGCAACACAGAAAGTTTGATCTTCATTTCATTACAAGGCAAAAAGAAATAAGTGATCCTAAAATGAGTGTAACAGGGAAAGAATACAGATACAGGTCTGCAAACTATCTAAGAGAAAATAACACACTTTAAGAACCAACAGCAGGAAAAGAGAAGAGAACCAGGGGCACAAACTGTAAGAGCAAAAAGAAGATGAAACGTGTATTGATCAGGTTCAGTAGTCACTGCATGATCCAAGCACTCTATAAGTTGTCTGGTTTATGCATGTTATACATCTGCTATTAAAAATAATTACTTGAATACAAAATTTTCAGTTGAACTTCCACAATGATTAGAGGGTGAACTCACAGGACTAAGCATCGAGGCTGGGCTTCTGCTCCAGATTCAGATACCTATATTTAGGTGACTGCATGTTTGCTTGTTTTCTAGGCTCTCATAGTCCATACAGTTAATGAAATACAGAGGGCATTCCAATACCAGACCAGCAGCTTTTAGACCAAATCACATCACTCATATCCTTACCATCATGGTCAATGTCATCAGTATCACTCTCCCTCTCTTCATCTTCCTCATCAAGAGTTCCTCGTGTTAGGATCAGATCAGAGGGACCCATTGCAGAAGCATCATCAGAACCTTGAAAGGAACAAAGATGGCTATATCCAAAACCTCATGCTAACAAGTAAGGTTAGCTCATGCCCTGACAGTTAATATTTGCACACAGTGACCTATTCTGAAGGGACAGAAAGCTGCTTCCGGACTTCAAAGATACAGAACAGACTGTAACACCACCATACTGAACATGTAAGGCAGCAGCTCAATCAGTTGCAGAGAGTTCTCATAATCCAATTGAACCGCTTCACCTTTTTTGAAATATTTCATTACTTCTAGTATGCCCACTGCTTTATCTCCACACCAGGGTTTCATCTTCTCATGTCTCTCTCAGTCCTATGACTAACACGTAGAAGAGCCAAGTCTGACCCATCCCATAGGGACTAAAGTCCCATTCCTTCTCATTAACATCAAGTTGCTTTCATGCTTTTGCTGTGAAGAGAGAAAAAACTTTGCATGACCTCTCAAGGTAAACTCTCCAGAGACCTCTGCAGTGTCACAGAATCAGAGTGGTTGAGGTTGGAAGGGACCTCTGGAGATCATCTAGTCCAACCCCCCTGCTCCAGCAGGGTCACCTACAGCACATTGCTCAGGGTCGCGTCCAGGTGGGTTTTGAATCTCTCCAGCGAAGGAGACTCCACAGCCTCCCTGGGCAATCTGTTCCAGTGTCCCTGTCTCCCTCACAGTAAAGAAGTTGTTCCTCCTGTTCAGACGGAACTTCCTGTATTTCAGGTTGTGCCCGATGCCTCTCACCCTATCGCTGGGCACCACTGAGAACAGTCTGGCCCCATCCTCTTGACACCCTCCCTTCAGATAATTATATACATTGATGAGATCCCCTCTCAGCCTTCTCTTCTCCAGGCTAAACAGGCCCAGCGCTCTCAGCCTTTCCTCATAGGAGAGATGCTCCAGTCCCCTCATCCTCTTTGTAGCTCTCCGCTGGAATCTCTCCAGTAGCTCCATGTCTCTCTTGTACCGGGGAGCCCAGAACTGGACACAGTACTCCAGATGCAGCCTCAGCAGGGCTGAGTAGAGGGGCAGGATCACCTCCCTCCACCTGCTGGCAACACTCTTCCTAATGCAACCCAGCACACCATTGTGGCCTTCTTGGCCACAAGGGCACATTGCTGGCTCACGGTCAACTTGTTGTCCACCAGGGCTCCCAGGTAAAGTTAATCTTCTCCCACTAAAGTTAATCTTCTTAGTAAGGTACCTCCAAGTGTGTTGCTCTGCACACATACTGTGCCCATGTCCTTCCACAAGTGTTCCAGCTGCTCTCTCTTTTGTTTATTTTGAGCTTTCTCCTGTAGGTATAAAGTAACATGTGGATTCTGAACACATTTAAAATATCAGTGAAACAGAGCTCACACCTAATACTCACAGTCTGTCCCTTGGGCAAAAAGCAGGAGTCAAACAGGTCTTATATTACAATTTGTGTCAGACAACTTTTGGGTAAGCATGGAAAACAACCTGATGATGGACTTCTAAGAACGTTTCAGCAGCATCAGGAAGCTAAACTCAGTGAAGCTGTATCTGCAGAGAACCGTCTCATGGACAGCCAGAACTCAAGGCAAGCAGAGCAACTAGTCTGTTTAAACAGCACATGCTGCCTTCAATGTTTGTTATTTGTTTCAGCGTCTGAAAGTGCCTTGATGTGAAAAGGGAACCTATTCAATCTTAAGCAATGCCTCTATGGAATCATATGCTTGCTAAAATTTGACAGATATGCTACACAGACATACCACAAATACGTGATCAAGATTTAGAAATCATTCTTCCACTAAATTATTTGTGGAAGAGACATTTTGTAATAGATCCCTTAGAGAACGTAAGTTTAACTAATTTTCAAAACTGTAACAGGAAAAGACTTCAAGTCTCTGGTGTTTCAGTTATGTTTGTTTCTAACTCTGTTTCTTCATCTAATGCTAGAAAACATCCACTGAACTAGTAAAGAAGCACAACAGAAAATTTAAGGAAGGCAGAGAGAACACAAAAAGAACAAAAGTTTATGAAACATTACAAACTGAAGTCATTAAAAAAAAAGACTGTGATAAAAGCTACTGATCTTCGTATTCCAATTCAGTCTTCTTTACTAACTATGTCAAAACAGTACACGTAACTGGCATGGAAAGATACAGCAAATCACTTTGGAAAGTTATTAAAAACAAATTCTCTCTCCTTCTGAAAGAAAGTTACCGATATCTTTTCCAACCATTTTCTCATAATCTGCCTAAATAAAGCTAAAGTATTAGCACTAAAGCACTGAACAACAACTGTTTTACAAATATCTTTACGAAAATAATGATGATGCTCTACCAATTCTAATAGATAGAAGAAATAGAAGGTGAACTTCAGGACAGAACTTGTTCATACAGAGGATGATTAGCAAATGAAATGTTAAACCCCACTTTCCCTCCCACACACGCAGAGGCAGTTGTGTGCTTAAAAGTGATCCCAGGATACGCTATCCAGGCATACAACAGTAGAAATACTTACCAGTGTTTTCCTCAGACGCTCGTATTCCGGACGATATTCCCTATAAAGATAAATACACACAGTACATTCACTCTTAAGTAATAGATGCTTTATATTAAGTACTGGCCATCTTGGAGGCTTGTTTTTAAAGTGCCACATGAAAATTTTGACTGCAACCAGAACATGCCCTCAAAGTTTTAATTACCCAGATAAACCTTAAACTAAAAAGTTCTGGTAGGCTCTCATACTTGAGAGAGGTTTCCAAGTCGTCTAAGGGCACTTTTACCCAAATTTGGATTTTGAAACCACAGGATAAGTAAAAACACTTAATTAAAATAGTAAATCCTTCTCTCATGATCTTGCTAGATAAGAAATTAAACCAGCTAGACAGAGGCAGTCGTTTCATTTCCATATCAAAATAGTAGATATAGCACTCTCCTCTAATCAGAGACAGGGTTCCCTCTGGCAGTACCTACACCTCTAGAGACAGTTCAGTGGGATCTCATATAGGAAGACCTTACACAGACTTCCACTCTATTATACCACTCCGGTACCTTTGAAATTTTATTTCTTGAAGAAAAAAGGGATATGGATACCCCCTTGTTAATTAGGGGATCACTGCATAGGCAATGTATCTGATAATCATCTATAGCATGCCTTGGCTATTTCTATGCAACACAAGTTACTAGTTTGGTTTCCAGTGCTATACATCAGCCTCATATATATATATATATGCGCACTGTATCATGAGGAGGAATCCACTAAGCAGCAAGTTCTCAAAAAATTCTTCAATTTCAACTTGCTCACCTATTCAGTCTACCAAAATGATCTGTTAGCTTTCTGAGGATAATTCAAAGCTTGACTATCTTATGGAATCAGAGGACAGAACTGACTTCAGATTTGCTGGCACAGATAGCTTTTACTTTTTTTAACTTAACAGTTAGCATAAAAACAAGCAGTTGAAACAAACTATGCAGTGGTGAATATTTGAGCTGACCCTTGCATCTAAATTTATTAAACACCCTAGACTACTCTGGCTGTGAAAAGTGATCCCCCCTTCAAAGCAAAGGAGTGGGCTCATGAATCACTAACAAGCAGTATTCACTGGTTCAGGGACCAAAGAATCACCTTACCTCTCATATTCATCCACAGCTTTAGAAAGCTGAACAAAAAAATCTTCCAGTCCTGTGCCAAGCACAGCAGAAACACCAACCACCTGCAAAAGAAAACCATATGCCAGAACTGAAGAAGAACTGAACCATGTTCTTAAATAACAATTAGGAGGTGAAAGCTGGAAAGACTAAAGACTATCTTTGAACAAATAACTAGGAGAATCTGGTGACACTCATTTAGTTACCACAGTGACATCAGAATAAGCAGTAACACTATGCTTCTCTTATTTCTACTTTCAACCTCTTTCTCCGTTTGCTGCTAACGTTTGCTACCTCCACATCTTTTTTTCCTCTTTTAACTAAGCTCTTATTTAACCCAGGCAGCTACATTTTCCTGTCTGTTTTATAATATTTATAATGTTAATGGAATAAATAAATAAAAACAATTCAGCAGGCAAAAAAAATTTATTAAACACCCTAGACTACTCTGGCTGTGAAAAGTGATCCCCCCTTCAAAGCAAAGGAGTGGGCTCATGAATCACTAACAAGCAGTATTCACTGGTTCAGGGACCAAAGAATCACCTTACCTCTCATATTCATCCACAGCTTTAGAAAGCTGAACAAAAAAATCTTCCAGTCCTGTGCCAAGCACAGCAGAAACACCAACCACCTGCAAAAGAAAACCATATGCCAGAACTGAAGAAGAACTGAACCATGTTCTTAAATAACAATTAGGAGGTGAAAGCTGGAAAGACTAAAGACTATCTTTGAACAAATAACTAGGAGAATCTGGTGACACTCATTTAGTTACCACAGTGACATCAGAATAAGCAGTAACACTATGCTTCTCTTATTTCTACTTTCAACCTCTTTCTCCGTTTGCTGCTAACGTTTGCTACCTCCACATCTTTTTTTCCTCTTTTAACTAAGCTCTTATTTAACCCAGGCAGCTACATTTTCCTGTCTGTTTTATAATATTTATAATGTTAATGGAATAAATAAATAAAAACAATTTCAGCAGGCAAAAAAAAAAAAAACCCTACATCCCATCCTTGTGCCTCCATCTCAAAACACCACAAAAAAGGAAGGCAAGAAAATACAATGCCTAAACATAATGAACAGGATGGGCTAATTCAAATGAAAAATCAGTTCTTTCTTCTGTTTACTCAGTTATTGTTAGTAACCCAAGTTCTCATTCTGAACCTGATATTACAAACTCTTGGTATGACTGTTTTGACAAATCAGTTTCCTAGAATTAAATAGCAGAGCAGACCACAAGACCTGATCTTTCACCTCTGAAATTCTGTCCAATAACTCGTATTTAGCTGAAGCACGTTTAAAGAGATGTCAAACCCAACATCAAGAACAGCAAGACATGGAGAATTTATCACTTACTATGGCAATATATTCCCTGTTAAAAATGTGCATCTGCTTTCTAATGTAAATTTGTCCGTCATTACACTTCTGGCCATTTGTTCTCCTTTTATTAAGCCCATTACCTAAAAACACCTTTAAGTCTGTTACTAGCCAGTATTTAGTGACCCTTAGGATTATTATATCCTCTAATCAAGTTTCTACATCGTCTTCATAAGCAAGACAGTCTTAGTGACCCACTTTCAACTTAAAGGCCTTGAATTTTACCAATAGTTCAGTATATATGGAGGAAACCAGGCATTCCAAACAATTTCAGCATTAGTCTGGACAATGTGCCAATATGTTAATATACATTAAAAAATAAAAATAATAAAAAACAGCCTTTCTTGCCATGTTATGGTACTTGAGGCTGTCTTCTACTATGATCCTTTTCACATATCTTGCTCTCCAGTCTGCTATTCAATATATATGGACTGCACACAAACAGTGGACTAGCAAATAAGGATTGGGAAGTAATTCTAGTCTTGCATATGGTACTATTCCAACCAATTTTGAGATACTGTTCCTCATGGAGTAGAGAAGGAGTCTCCTTCGCTGGAGAGATTCAAAACCCACCTGGACGCGACCCTGGGCAATGTGCTGTAGGTGACCCTGCTGGAGCAGGGGGGTTGGACTAGATGATCTCCAGAGGTCCCTTCCAACCTCAACCACTCTGTGATTCTGTACTTAAACTAAATGATTCCATTCAGAATATACAGTTATGATTTAGCTAGAACAAACGCATTTTACCTCCGCTGCCTTCATTGCCTTATCTATAAGAACTTTTTTTGCTTTTTCTTAAGTAAAAGCTGATGCAGAACACAACTAGCTAAACTCTTTTGGCACAGATTATGGGATCATTAACACTCTCCAGTATATAGTGTTTTCAAAGAAACTGAATGGATTTGTCTTCCTGTCACCTGATAAGCGGAAAAGACACTTTTCCCTGCTCAGCAGACATACAGGATTTTTTGGGGTTTTTTTCCCCCTTCTTCCCTCATGGTAAACTCACCAACTATGTCTGACACTTTCAAAACAAGGAAAGATTACCTCAGAGAGGAGACACTTCAAAACAGGACATTTCCTCTTAGCAGCCTATCTTAGCTTTCTTCTGATTATCATTTACAATTTATTCTTAAATAATTCCGTCTGCCACTCAGCTTAACAAGGAACTAAAATTATTTTACATTCAGAACAGAGAATCCTTTCCCCTAACGCAAGGCTGAGCAACAGATTCCAGTTCAAAAGCATGGTGAAAAGTCCTTTTACAGAATCACAGAATGATTGAGGTTGGAAGGGACCTCTGGATATCATCTAGTCCAACTCCCCCTTCTCAAAGCAGGGTCAACTAGAGCAGGTTGTTCAGGACATTGTCCAGACACATTTTGACTATCTCCAAGGATGGGGACTCCACAACCTCTCTGGACAACCTATTCCAGTGTTCAATCACCCTAACAGTAAGCAATTTTTTTCTTACATTTAAATCAAATTTCTTGTATTTCAATTTGTGCCCATTGCCTCTTGTCCTTTCACTGGGTACCACTGATAGGAGTCTGGCTCTTTCTTCTTGACTTCCAGCAGGTATTTATACACATTCGTAAGAACTGCTTTGAGCTTTCTCTTTTCCAGGTTTTTATGAGAAGTAGTAAACAAAGGAAGATTCTTACCTTGAGTGAGCTGTAAAACTCATCCAACACTAAACTCATAGAACGAGTCAGGTTACTGACATAGGATGTCTCTTGATTCAGGGCATCCTGAAACGTCTCGAAGTCCTGCATCCATTCTACTGCAAAACTGTGATCAATTATGTCAGTCTGAAAGGAGCAGAGTTTTTTCAGAGGCAACAATGATGAACTCTTTGCTCACTTAACAACTTAAGTCTAATAAACAATTTCCATTTTAAACTTACTTTCAAAATGCTTATCTTTTCAAAATGTTCAGCCCTGGTCTGAAGTTTTCCATGCTCTGTTTTACCAAACCAGCTACAGGAACAGTAAACAAACGCTATCTCAGTTTCAAGAAGGCGTGTTTAAAGGAAACACAACTGAAAGTCTGGCTACACAAATCTCTATGGTTTTACTGGAATGAGGCATCCAATAGTTGTGCATTCTACAAAAGAGTTTTGGTCCCAAGTATTAGATTGGATGACTGAGGCCAGACAAAAAAACTGTCTGCACCGAAGATCCCAACCTTTCTTGACTGGCTTGGAGAGGGGGAAAAAAAAAAAAAAAAGTCCTGCTCCCTACCCACCTTTTTAATTAACAACTGAAAATTACTATTCAAACATGAGCAATAGACATTGCCCATGTTGGGAAACAGCCTACAGGAACTTTACATAATGAGCTGGGCTCTGACCTAAAGAAATTATAATCTAAACTCAATGCAAGATCATGGATGCCATCAGCTGAGATGGTTCCATAATTTTACATGGATTCACTATTGTCACAATATATCTGATATATTTAGTTTTCCAGCACCAATAAGGAGGAAAATAAAGTACTGCCTAGCATTACTCAAGAGATTTGTGAGAGAGCTGAAACGAGTTTTCAAGGTCCTAAGCCTAGCCATTTACAGTTCGCTTAATTAAATTCTGTAAATAAAATTAAATTAACTCTACACTTTCTATTAATTTTATTCCTCTTCAAATCTAACATTCCTTAAATCTGTCAGCCACACTACATGTTTCAATTCCTTGGGACGTTTCCATATTTATCAACACTCAATTTTAAAATGCTTGACAAAAATTCTTCAAATGCTACTGGCTTTACTTTTTCGTGAAGGCTAAAAATCAGATCAGAATGAAGTTTAAAGTTACGACTCTTAAACCTTGGGCCTACCTTTCCATGCACATATTAAGTCACATTTCTTTCAGTCTTTCCAAAATGCATTTTCTTAGGACATAACAATTTTCCCCATGCATTTTTCTGCAGAAAAACTTCACAGCTTATTCTACAACTCCACATACATTGGGAGGCATCCCTTGATTAAGAAGGATGCCTGTGGGGATAAGGAAGAATACTCATACCAAAAATCTAATGGGATTCTTCTAACAAATGAAATTGTTATGTTTAAAGAGGTGGACAACTTTCCAGTCCAAAAGCATTTCTTTAAGCTACAGACCTGTACCTATACAAGAATGAAGGTGTATCCTTAGGCTAATAGGTATCTGTTTACTGGCAGACAGTGACGTACTTTAAGTATCATTGATCAGAACCAAACACCTTTTATTGAATTTTACCTGCTACAATGATTAAGACAACTGTTCTGAGGAAGCAGACAAATATAGGAACAGGTTCAGTAATGAACCTAACCTTATGTCAGGAGGTTTGTGTTTGCTTACAGCATAGGGTTAAGGTTTTTGGAAGGGATCCTCATCCATGGATACAGCATTTAAAAAATACTGTAGATGAAAAACATAGCATCAGTTAAAGGGATGGTGAAACAGTGGGAGGTCCCCTTGGATAGGGTCCCAACATTCTACATGTAAAAGACTAAGAGGAGAACAGGACCAGCATCCACTCCCATCCAGCCACAGGAGGCCAGCTTCAAAGCATGGAAGAACTACATCTGTGACATAACACTCACTGTCTCAGATTTTGGGTTGTTTTTTTTTTTTCCCCTCCAGATTTCACTCAAGAACAAAGGATTTAGAAAGAAGCTGAAGACCTCAAGAAATTAAACCTCTACCAGATCCTGCAATACATTCTTAAAATTGGTAATATTACTTTCTACAATAAAGGTTAATTTAATAACGTAAGCTCTCTTCATCTCTAATTTGAATTTTTTAGACTTTAACCATCTGTCCTTGATTCTTCTTGCGGCTTTCTTTACCTGATTAAAGACCCCTTTTAGTTTCAGTTTTCAGTCTCTAGGTCCCTCACAGCCTCTCTTCAAGAAAATCTGATTATCGTAATAAGAGGAAGACAATACTGTAAAGCAAGATAAACAGAACAATGTTCTGCTGGGACACAGAAGCCATAGGTTCGACTTACCTTGTTCATGACAACAATAAAAGGCAGCTTTGTTTTGTACAGGATACTGGAAGTAGAAAAGAATCATTGAAAAAATAAAATTAATTTAAATCTCATTAGAAGAGAAAAAATGTTACACGTAAGGCAGATATAGCTGTGACTTTGGAAAGAAAATATTTTTCTCTGTATGAATTAGAATGTAATTCTCACCCAGATTCTGCTTACTGAAGTTGACCAAAATTTCTTCCTCACACCCCCACAAAAGGTAAGCACATGTCCGTAAGATATAAAATTTCCTCTACGTGCATGGTTGAGTTTGACTAGTATTTTCCATGAATTTCAGATCAAACTTTTTGCTGTCTTTACATTTTTATATTATTGTGACTTAAACTTTTAGGTTTTCACATATCATTTGTGGACCGATCAATGAATTCAAATAACTCAAAATATCTATAAACCAAAATTTACATTGAAACATGAGCTTTCACATTAATTTCATAATATTCATTCATTTCTCTTGCTTAGCACTAATTTCAGAAAATGCATCAAGTTATAGAGCATATTTTGCATATTCCCATCCCAATGATATAGCTTTCAAGCTTAGTACAAGGATTAATATCTTTCTGAAAAACATTTACTAACATTTACCAAAAATTATGCCAGCTCTAGATATGCTGACCTTTACATAGGTATTCAGTCCCTGGTTTAACATGAAAGAAAATAGTGAATTCCATATAAAAGGAAGAGGACAATACACTAGGAGACAGTATGTGTTCACCAGAATTCAATACCATGCCAAGCTCAGAACAATTTTTGAACAATCACTGAAAACATCAAGAATAAAAAATAGGATAAAATCATATTATATGTTTACCAAAAGGAGTTCAGACTAGGCTATCTTAATATCTCTTAGATTTTATAAGCAACAGGTAACATTAATCTAACTAGCCTTCATTAAACGAAGGTCTCATGGGTTATTTAATGCTTTCAGCAGAAGTTTTGAACAGATGACCCCAAGATGTTCCTTCCCACCGATATTCCATTATTCTATGAGAGAATAACAACCACAGAATCACAGAGTGGTTGAGGTTGGAAGGGACCTCTGGAGATCATCTAGTCCAACCCCCCTGCTCCAGCAGGGTCACCTACAGCACATTGCCCAGGGTCACGTCCAGGTGGGTTTTGAATCTCTCCAGCGAAGGAGACTCCACAGCCTCCCTGGGCAACCTGGGCCAGTGTCCCTGTCTCCCTCACAGTAAAGAAGTTGTTCCTCCTGTTCAGACGGAACTTCCTGTATTTCAGGTTGTGCCCGATGCCTCTCACCCTATCGCTGGGCACCACTGAGAACAGTCTGGCCCCATCCTCTTGACACCCTCCCTTCAGATAATTATATACATTGATGAGATCCCCTCTCAGCCTTCTCTTCTCCAGGCTAAACAGGCCCAGCGCTCTCAGCCTTTCCTCATAGGAGAGATGCTCCAGTCCCCTCATCCTCTTTGTAGCCCTCCGCTGGAATCTCTCCAGTAGCTCCATGTCTCTCTTGTACCGGGGAGCCCAGAACTGGACACAGTACTCCAGATGCAGCCTCAGCAGGGCTGAGGAGATTGGCAGGATCACCTCCCTCCACCTGCTGGCAACACTCTTCCTAATGCAACCCAGCACACCATTGAGGCCTTCTTGGCCACAAGGGCACATTGCCGGCTCACGGTCAACTTGTTGTCCACCAGCACTCCCAGGTCTTTCTCGGCAGAGCTGCTTTCCAGCAGGTCAGCCCCCAGCCTGTCCTGGTGCATGGGGTTATTCTTCCCCAGGGGCAGGACTCTGCACTTCCCTTTGCTGAACTTCAGGAGGCTCCTCTCCGCCCAACTCTCTAGCCTGTCCAGGTCCCTCTGAATGGCAGCGCAGCCCTCTGGGGTATCAGCCACTCCTCCCAGTTTTGTATCACCAGCAAACTTGCTGAGGGTGCACTCTGCCCCTTCACCCAGGTCACTGATGAATAAGCTGAACAAGACTGGACCCAGTACTGACCCCTGGGGCACACCGCTAGCTACAGGCCTCCAGCTGGACTTGATGCCACTGATCACAACCCTCTGAGCCCTGCCATTCAGCCAGTTCTCAATCCACCTCACCATCCACTCATCCAGCCCGCACTTCCTGAGCTTGCCTATGAGGATGTTATGGGAGACAGTGTCAAAAGCCTTGCTGAAGTCCAGGTAGACAACATCCACTGCTCCGCCCTATCCAGCCAGTTGTCTCATCATAGAAGGCTGTCAGGTTGGTTAAGCATGATTTCCCTTTGGTGAATCCATGCTGACTACTCCTGATCACCTTCTTGTCCTCCACATGCTTAGAGAAGGCATCCAGGAGGAGCTGTTCCATCACCTTTCCAGGGATGGAGGTGAGGCTGACAGGCCTGTAGTTCCATCACCTTTCCATCACCAAGACAGAAAAGAACCAAATCAGCGGATTAAGTATCTCAAAAGGAGATAGCAGTGGGTATTACACGAGTTCCTTGTTTAATGTTCCCTGTAACCACTTACTCTTATTAGAAAAAAATCCATTAGTATACTGCTGCTGTTGTGACAAAGTAGCTTTTAAGACATAGAAAATATTAAACAAACATCAATCAGATTTGAGCAACTTTTCTGTAATGATGCTTACAATCAACAACGAAATTCAATCTTGACTGAGGAAAATGGAATTGTTTCATACCTAAATTGCCAGATGACTCTAACAATACTGCCAGAAAGAATAAGTAAAAGCCACAGATTTTAAAGAAGCAAGAGCAAAGACAGGCCTTTCTCATCAACAAGCTGTATATAATAAAAGGGATGCTACTAGGCAAGCTAAAGTCATAAACTCAAAGAACTACTGAACAAACTTGAATCAGATTTCCAGCACTCCAACTATGTCCACTAGCAAGAGGTACTATTCTGTTATGCCATCATCTGATTTGCCTGAAGCTCAGGAACAAAGGAAAAATCAGAATAAAAGCTTGTGACTTGTCACATAAAATACGAATGCCATTCTTTTCTTATTTACATGCTTTGTTTTCATTTGTTAGGCGGTGTCTCCACCTCTATATACTTTGTTAGGTACGAAGGGGACAACACAGTACTATGAAAGTATAACCACCCAGGCATGTATGTCATGAATGTGAAAAGCATCAGAAAGTTTCACACCTGCAAACAGCCCTATACATCGTCACAGTAATACCTGTAAAGATGTGTACCATCTTTAAATCTCCTTAGAGACTTAGTGGGTCTGTAGATATTGTAAATAAAAAGATTACAAACAGATATTTAATCTGCTAAACCTCTACTTGTTGAAAACCTAAGTTAGTCTCATCCTTTCTCAAAGAGGGCAAGAAGACAAAAACTTTAACAAAGTCAACACCTGAAAGGACTAAATGTAAAAAGAAGCTTTATAAAAGAAGCTGACATTGTAATTCACATATTTAATAATTTGACTGCCCCATTTTAAACTGAGTAGCAGAAATCCATCATTCAAGCCAGCACACAGACTGGATATAGTCACTATAACAGTCTGGCTACACCTTCCCCGTGAACAAAAAGCTCCAAATCCTCGCTGCTTCCTCTCAACCACTTTCCCAAGAATTGAGATAGACAGATTCTCCTCATCTGAAAAGCCCCTCAGATGAAATCCAAACAAATATTCCCCCCAAAATAGCGATGAAAGAGACATAGCAATCAAAAATGGATTTTCAGCATTTCCTACCTGCAGGCATACAGCATATTAGACATAAAGGTGATAGGATTAGTGCTGCGAGAGGTATCCATCACATAAACAACAACTGATGGAAAAGAGGAAGCCTGGAAACACATGGTAAAAGATATTTTAGTTAGAAGTAGAGGCTATTCAATCGCCACTTTGTTCACACAACCTTGCTGTCAAGTCCTGTAGAATATACTTACCAGTGCCTCAGTTATGATGGTTCCTGATGCTGACCAGGTGAATACCTCTATTTGTCCTGGTGTGTCAATGATAACATACCTGTTAAGAAATCATCCCCAACAAACAAAAAAAAAGAGGGGAGGAAACTAGTCAAGTACAAGGTGCTGGTGAGATCAGATTACCAGAGGCGTGGGAACGGCAGATCACATGACTATTTTGTTACGGATCAGGTAAGTTTCTCCCAAAGACTGACAAGATTTAAGGACAGGCCTGAAAATTTCCTTGTGCACCATGTAACTAAGAGGCACTTATTAATCTCTTCAGATACTATTAAAATCAAAAGCATGAATGTGACGGATACTTAACATTGTTAACTCCTCAGAACGAGAATTAACTGTTGCATATTTGAACAGTGAAGGAGGAAAATGAAGGTCTAATGGAAGACAAAAAAAGGCAGAACTGGCACCGGTAGATATTTCTTTCTTCAACTTACATGTATCAGGTAAGAGTCTAGTTTATCTTTTCTAATTCTATGTCCTTTTTCAGATAAAATTTAAACTGAAACAAAAAGAAAAACAACTAGAAAACATGCAAAGATCCTTTTTAGGGTCTCGCATGGTTTTCCCACAGTGATTCCAAAACAGTAAGACTTCATAGAGCATACTCACTTGGATGCATTTTGTCTTTTTTCAATAAACTTCATGACCTGATTGAAAAGAAAAAGTAGCAGTTTATCTTGCACTTAGGCTCAAAACAAGAAGCTTTTAGAATTGTTCTGTATATAGAAACTATACCAGCTTAAACACGCACAGCTACATGTGCAAATCAAAGCTCTTAAGCTTTTCAACGTGTGGAAATGCCCTACTAAGGAAGGGTGGAAAATGCTCAGACACTGCATGTGCCACAACAACTTTAACTTTGCCCACATTCTAGTACCTGGCTAAAGAATCTGTATAATAAAGGCAGTTGTTCCCTACCTTTTTACTAAGGGATTGTGCAGTGCTTCAATGTCATGTGTAAGGTTCCCAGCATTGGGATTAAGATTCAAGAGAGCAGTCAGGTTTCTCTAGTGACACTGGATAACTGACTGATCTCCAGAAGTCAGCTTCCCTACTCCAGAATCAGAGCATTCATAAAAAAGATGAAAATCTTGCAGGGAACATAGTGTAACAGAATAGTTTTGTACAAAGACTAAAGTATCAATGTTCTGTACATATGGCTTCTAAGTTTTACCCCCACAAAAAAGGTGGAAAACTGCTCTCTCTCTCAAATTGAGAGCTAATGTAGTTCAGCTACTTTACAGGATACATGGTCCAGCAGGGAGAATAACTCAGAAGAAAAATTAACTGGCTGAATCAAACAATGTTCTCTGAAACTACAGATCGAGAAATAAATAACAGTCTCCCACAAACACGTAGCACAGTATCACACGGAAACAACCTCGTACCTGATCAAATCTTGTAGCAAAGAGATTGAGAGAGGTCACTATTCCACCATTTGGGCCCAGCCCATATCTGGATACTTTATTTAGGAAAGCCTATAATTACACAGACCTCAGAGTGCTTCCTTCTCAAATCTGATAATAGGGGGTCATTTACAATGCACATTGGGCACCTTGCAGCAAAAGACAACGTCAGTAACTCTAAAGGGCACATATTTAAGTTTCCTAAGTGATGCAGTAACATAACAAATACAAAGCAGTCTGTCTCTTGCACAAACACATGGATGATTGACAAAAAGGAAAAGGGGCTACACCATGGCCTTCCCTTGATCATCATTCAAGCATTACAGTTTTTTCCTCTTTGTCCAAAATGATCAAAGCAATCTTCATCAAATTCTGAGTTACTGGCTGCGGTGTTATAAATCTTTTCGGAAAGATAATGTCCTGAATACACTGAAACTTTAAGAATGCATATTTCAAAACATAATTAAAGAATTTCTTGCACAAATTAGTTTTTAGGTAAATGTAAAGGGAAAGAATGGGAATGAGCTTCGTAAAAACACTCAGCTTATCAAAGACAGCTTAAAGATGAAGATGTTAAAATGCTTTGCACACATACGGATCTATGTGCAATGAAGGAAAGAATCTTTTATTACATTAAATATTTTATTTACTGCACAAGAACCAGCACTGATTCATCAGTACAGGCAGTCTTCCAGCGCCACTGCTCTCAATGTCCAAACAAGCTGCCCAACACTCTCCTTAAGCACTATTTAATGAGATGGTTAAACTCCAGTAATGGCTAACAACAGACACAGTAGAGCAAATAACGCATCTGTGTACCAAATTTAAACTTATACTCAGATGGTTTTTGTTAGTAAATCCTAATCAAACACCAGCAAAAGTCAGAATCCTAACCCCCACCATCATTCTTCTTTTCTAAAATATTTTAATTAAGAGTTTCACTCGTATGCCAAATCTAAACCCTGCACAGCATCTCCATCTGCAAAAGCCATTACTTAGGAGGTCAAAGGACTTCCATATCCCACTGGGGGTGCAGTCATTTTAGTGTCATGTCACTGAACTACAGTCAAACTATTGTGTAGCAAGAGCAAATGGTCCAATGTCTTAAGAGATTCAGAAAGACAACAGGGCTTTATGTTCAAATCATGTGGCAGTCATTTTAGTGTCATGTCACTGAACTACAGTCAAACTATTGTGTAGCAAGAGCAAATGGTCCAATGTCTTAAGAGATTCAGAAAGACAACAGGGCTTTATGTTCAAATCATGTGGAAAGCTGAGAGAGAGAGAGAAAGAAGAAAAGTTTTCCCCACCTACTAAAGGCAAGCAGGAATTTGGATATGCTTATAACAAACAAAAACAGGGTTATACATGCATGGGAAAAAGGCTGTTGGCTTTCACAATGAAAGACACAAGCTGGTCTAAAGAACAGAAAAGAGAGGTGGACAGAGTGCTTCTTATTTGTGAAAAGGTATTCCTAGGCTGAATCACTGTTAGCACAGGAGAAGGGAACGACCTAAGGAGTATCAGATCTTGTTCAAAATGCATTTCTAATCTTCAATGTAAGAAATACCCAGTCAAAAACTTCTGGTCTTTGCACAACGTTCTGAGTTACTCCAATCCCCAATACACACCCCTCTCTTCATTCTAAAGGGCAGAAGAGATGGCCAACTTTCACGTATTTGGAAATTTTACAGATCATTGTAAGAGGAAAAAAGGATACTGTTTCATGACTTCCTTGTACTTCACTGTGTCCCGGATATCTGGAGGGAGAAGAAGTATAAATAGTTTTAAGACATTACTTTAAAAATAGCTTTGTTTATCAACATGCTGATAAGAGAAAGCCTTTCCTTGTCCAGCAGCTCTCCTTTTGCCTCAATAATAAATCTAGCAACAACAGAAGACTCACAGATAGCAAATCCATTATATTTTATGTATTCTATGCTGTCGACATACCTATAAAACCCAAGGTAATTCATGTGAAATATCTCCAGTGTAAGTACTTAGCTGTAACTGCTTACATTGAATTTTCTTCTCAGTTGGCCAACATCAGTTAACAAAGTACAAGTATTTAACTGCATTATGAGAGATCTGGCATTGGAATGCTTTCTCCAGTTCTTCATTTGACACCAGTAAAAATACTTCAGTATCCACACCACCTTTATTATTGCCCAGAGAACCAGGCTGATGAGCTCTAGAAAGTATAAAAGATAGGACCACCACAAATCCAAGGAACAGTAAGCCCTTAGGCATGACAAGCCTTTAGGAATGAGCGGACACAAGGTCTGTTTTATTATTAAGATCTTTTCCTTAAAATTAACGTATTTTAAAGTGTTTGAAAAAAGTTCAAAAGTAGCACATACGGCTACCAACGCTCGGGAGAGGAAAGACCTGGAGGGTCTGAACAGGTCAAACCTGTTACCATGTTCAGCACTGATAAAGGGAAACAAACAAACAAACAAACAAAAACAACAGAAACCAAACAGAGCATCATCAAATCACACAAGGCAATGCAAAAAGGTACAAACAAGATGGTAAGATAGCACTGGTCTCAAGAAATACATGACTAAGAAAAAAGTTTGTCAGGAGAAAAGAATCGAAAGTCAAGAAAAAAAATATTACACGGAGGCCCTTCTCATGCTAGCATTTGCCATCTTTTTAAAGGAGCATAAACAACCTAGCCAAACGCCTTACAAAGCACGGCCCGCATTTCCGTGAAACGCGGGAAAACCAGTACACCACAAACGCTTTAACCTATGGAAAAACGGGCTTGCTCCGCTCTGGCGGACCCCTGAGGCGAGCCCCCCGGCTGCCCCGCGCCGCAGGCCTCACCGATGTTGGCGGGGGAGGGCAGGGCGGGCCCGGGCGGGGC